AAGAAGAAGAAGAAGAAGAAGAAGAAGAAGAAGAAGAAGAAGAAGAAGCAGCTTCGAAGAAAAGGGAGAGACTTGGAACAAATTGAGGCTGGAGAGGTGGGTAGGAATCAAACCATAAATGGCTTTATAGGCTCCACTAAAAAAAATTCTTTTCATGCTGTGAACAATGAAAAGCCATTAAAAGGAGCTGAGTGTGTGCTTGTGTGTGTGTGACATGATTATATTTGCCTTTCAAAAAGATCATTCTGATTGCATAATAGAACAGATTGGAGGGGACCCAAGAGCAGTGACAGAGAGCTCAATGGAGAGGTTGCTGTAGTAGTCAGAGGTTGGTAGTTTGATCAGCATGGCAACTGATAGAGAGAAATTGATTGTATCAAGGTATTTAGGCCAGTCTTTGTGGTGCACACCTGTGATCTCAGCAACTGGGCTAAGGATAGAGGATCATAGGTTCAAGGCCAGCCTAGGCAACCTAGAAAGACTATTGCAAAATAAAAAATAAGAATAAAAAGAGTGGGAATGCAACTCAGTTATAGAGCACCTCTGGGTTCAATTCTAGTATCTGGAAAAATAAGAAAGAGAGAGAAATTCATGCAATAAGATCTAAAGAACACAATTACAGGTTGGTTATGGCAGGTGAGTGGGAGAATGGAGGAGACAGATGGAGAGGAGTTTAACTTTTATAACTAAAGGTATGGTGGTATCATTCAGTAAAGAAATACCAGAAGAAGATCAGTTTGGATAGAAGATGATGAGTTCATGTTGGGGTATGTTCAGTTTGAGATATTAAAGCTATCTAAGAGATTACATCAAGGAAGCAATTAGTTATAAAAATGTGTAGTTCAGAATACAGAATTGGTCCGCAGATATGACTTTGAGATTGGTCTGTGTATAGGTGTAAACTGAAACACTGGTTGTGGAAAAAACTGCAGAATGAGAAGAGTAGAGAGGCTGGGGCCAAGCCTTCGCAAGGTAAAATAGGGTGAGTCTGCAAAAGATACAGAGAAGGAGTAGCCAGAGAAGTAGAGGTAGTCAGCATAGATAAACTATCTTTAAAGAATTTTGGGAGTTATGGGGAGGAGAGAGATAAGGCAGTGCCTGCAGAGGAATGTGGGGTTTTGATTTTTTTATTTCAAGAGACTGGAATATGTTTCATATCAGGATGGAAACACTGATTAGGGACAGAAAGTGATAACTGATGATTTGAGGTTTCTGAATGGTAGGAGGTGACAGGATCTAAAGCACAGTTGAGTTTCTAGCTGATGATTTCAATTACTTTTTCTTTTAAAGTAGGAGGCATGATGATCTGATAAACATGTGGGGGTGGAATTTGAAAATGGGGAAGATTTGAAAGAGTTATTGCTGTGTGGGAGCATAAATTGACCAGAGAAAAGTAGTAGGGTGGATGGGCAGTGTGAAAGTCTTATTTGAGGTTGAAGTTATGGTACATGCTAATTTATCCTCTTGGGTGACCGTGTCCATCAGTGCTTGATTGCCCAAGTGCAGGCATGGAGGAAATGGACAATAGGGATGGCTCAGAGTTGGTGGGAGGAGATTGGGGGAAGAGGACTTACCAGCATCTTAAGAGTCTCTTTGTGTCCAGTCCCCTCTAGTTCCTGCTCATCCTGTATACCACCACGAAATTTCTTTTCCTCAAGACTGCTTTTTATTAACTCATTCCCCTTGGTCAAGAATATGGATCATTCATGGGCTGGGGCTGTAGCTCAGTGGCAGAACGCTTGCCTAGCATGCATGAGGCACTGGGTTCCATCCTCAGTACTACATTAAAAAAGCACCTCATAAGCACCTCAGCACCACATAAAATAAAGGCATGCTGTCCATACACAACTACAAAAAAATTTTTTAAAGAATATGGATCACTCAAAATGGTGCAGTGATTTAGAGCACAGATGATAAACCTTGGTTTGAATTTCAAGTGTGAACTTGGATGATTCATGTGAATTTTCTAACAATTCTAAAATAAGGATAATCATAATATTTACCCTATAGTTATTAGGCAGATTAAATGAGATTGCATGCAGCACTGTACTTGGTTTGTAGTAAATACCCAATACATGAAAGCAGCTACATTATCTTTTCTCATCTGTCTTCCTACTCTTCCCTTCAGGTCCCATCTTAATCTTTCATTCTTTCTCATCACTATTCAACACACTCCCTCCCATTCCCTGCTAGATTGATCTTTTGCTGCCTCCGTATTCAATGCCATGTACCTTTGCCTAATCTACCCTAATTCTATCATTTCTCAAAGGTGTAAGAGAAAGCTTCCTCATTAGCTTGAAGCCAGGTTTGCTCTTTCACAGTATTGATCTCCCATTGCATACTGGTGACGTGTAGAACCTTATTATATTCTATTGTTTACTTTATTATAAACTTCATTATTGTTTTGTTTTAAAATACTATTGTATCTTTTAAAATATTTCAGTACTATAAAACTTTCTCAATGAGAGTATAAACTCTTTGAGGGAAGGAATCATGCTATAAGTCTATGTATTTCTCACAGAACTTAGAATAGTAGAATAGTATTCACAATTCTAGTTAACTTTAATTGATCTGAATGGAGGCATAAGTTAGGCTCCATTGTTCTTCAGAGCAGGGTACAAAGTCCCATGGGGTAACCAAACAATATGCTAGAATATATGAAGAAAATATTACAATTTCTCCTTATATTTTTGTTACCATTTTTTGACATTTCTATTTTTGTGTATGTTATAATGTATATAATACAAATATACACAAATCTATCTATCTATCTATCTCATGGTTAAGACATTTTAATCTTGAGGCTCCAGATAAAAACGTTTTCAGTTTCTAGTGTTTAAATGAGTGATAGAAAGTTGACTTAGACAAAGTCAGATCAAATATTTTTTGAGAAGTTACTGTGTGCCAGGCATTATGCTAAATGTTTCACACACATTAACTCACTTAAGTCTCATGACAATTTTATAAGGTGGGTGTTATTACAGTCCTTACATTGCAGAATAGGATATTGAAGCACAGAGTTTAAGTAAGCTACTGCAAAGTTTTATAGTAAGCAAGTAATGAATCAAGATTTAAAACTACTTCTATTTGAATCAAAAGTTGATATTCTTTTTTAGAAGATTTTTTAAGTACACAATTTGGTTACTTTAATAGATATAAAACTAATAGAATTATCCATTTCTTCTTTGGTGATTTTTGGTAAATATGTCTTTCAAGGATTTTGTACCTTTCCCAAAGCTAATTGTGTCAATCAGTGCTACTTTAGCATGTTTCCCTTTTTTAAGTATCTATATGGACATACCATGGTATGAATACCTTCCATGGTAATAGTAAGTTACCTAACCAAGGTATTATGAGAACCATATAAGATATTAGTGAGTATACATCATTTTAAGAAAAATGAAATAAACAATGTGATTATGTCTATGATACTTATTTCTCTTAAAAATGAAAAAGAAACTAGATGTTTTCCATAAAAAAATTGTTTCTGATTTCTAAGGCTGAATCCAAAGTAAAAAATGCCTTCTGATTTTACAGTTCTTTCTGAAAATATGACAATTGAAGAAACAAGTATGCCTCTTCCACAACAAATAAACTTGACAACCCCTTCCCAAATTACTGAACTAAGACTACAAAAGACTGTACATGTATCTGCAGTGATGTCTAAAAGCATTCCTATGGATGCAACTAATTATACAACTTTATCATATTCTAATAAAACATCTTCACCTGTAGAAATAATGACTGCATCAAAAAATTTAAGGACATCTATAGCTGAGACAGCTACCTTTGCTGCAGATGGTCTATCTTCTGCAGCCATCTCTCGGCCTACCCAGAGTACATCTATATGCACTACCACTGATTCCATGAAAATAACTAAATCCTCAAGTTCAGAAAGCAAAAGGACAACAAAAATGGCAGAAGTCATGTCTACTAAGACCTCACATCCAACTACAGCTATTAATTTCCTTTCCACATCTGGATTTACCAAGAATTCAAGTCCATCAGAAACTTCAGCTGAATCTCAGTCAGCTATTATGAAGACCACATCTTTATTCTCAATTATTGAGTCAACATCCATGTCTACAACATCTTGGCCCAAACAGAAATCTACAGTTATTCCACCTTTCCCTTTTACCACATCTGGGCAAGAGTTTCTTGTATCTACAGCTGCCAGAACTGTACCTTGGTCCACAGTAGAAGAGACTTCAGGTACAAGTACTGTCACTGAGACTGCATCAACATTCCCACCTGAGTCTGTGCTCATCTCTACAGTTGCTCCAGTGGATTCTATATTTACGAGAAATCAGACAATATCTACATTGGCAAAAACTGATGTGCAAACAGCATTTACAGTTCATTCTGTTATGCCTTTTGAGACCACACCTGCTGTAAGAACAGCAGAAACAGAATGGGCATCTACAAATTTCCAGAATATTTCTTCACCCAGCTTGGAGGATGCCATATCTACCTCCAATGCAAAAGACACCTCTTCTATGGCTTTTTATTATGTGACCTCCTCTCCAATCACTAGAACTCAGAATGTACAGACAGTTGTTGATGCTGAGAGTTCAAACACAGCCTTCACTCCTGCAATCACACTTGCACCTACAGTGGCTAAAACTACTTTCTCCTCCACAATCGCAGGGTCAGTACATACTCATAATACACCCACAGCTGGTGAACACATGCTTACTTTAATTTCTACTAAATCACTTTCCACATCCAAGGCATCTGAATCAGATTCCACACCCACAACTGATGAAACTGCCCATGGATTTTCCACCAATGGTAACACTTGGACTTCTAGGCCAGAACAGACCCTGGTAACATCTATAAATACAACTACCACACTTACATTTGTACCTAATGAAAATTTCACATTAGCATTACATGGGAATATTACTAATACAGAATATTCATCCACAACTACTAATATTATCACCCCACTGGAAGCCTCCACAGAAAGTAAGGCTACCACTAGTACTGATACCACTACAGCTAGATATACAACAGCTCTTACCAAAATAATATCTTCACAGTTTGCTAATTTTTCTACCATTTCTGGAACTACAAATGTAACTAATCTGCCTGAGTTTAAATTTACCACCTTACTACTAAAAACCAACTCTATGTCCACAGTAGGTGCAAATGAACTTCCTTCAACACCAAAGGAGACAGCTGTTCCATCAGCAGATATAACATCTACCCTTGCTGATATTAAACTAAAATTTTCTACTGAAGAAAACACTTCTGAAGCAACACAAACAGAAACAAATGGTACAAGCACATTTGGTGATACAACAGCCCCAGTACCAAAGTCTGTCACAACAGAAAGATTCAATGTTACTGTGACAAGAAAAGAAACAACTTCCCATCATCCTAAGGAAAAATCAACAATAGCAGCAGTAGCTGAGCTTTCTCAATTTTCAACAATGCTGGAAATGATAGATGAATCAGCACAAACAGTGACAGCTTTTGCCACTGTTTCCCCTTTTCCTGATACAGAAAATTTAACTAATCTATTGGATCATAAAACTGTAACTACTGAGGTGGGAGGGAATTGGTTTTCAACAAATTTGATGCAAACCACACCTAAGAGTCCATACAATGGAGCTACAGAAATCTTTAATTCAACCCACAACTATTCAGCACAATGGACTTCAGAGACACCTGGGGGAAATTTAGCTCTGTCTCCCACTTCTGGGAAAATGCAGACATTCCCTGAACTCCTGGATGCTTCTACCACAAGAATATTGGAAGCCAGTGTCACCACTATTCCTACAGACAGGACAGCTTTGTTCTCGTCTGCTGATGTCATTCCTCCACAGACTGCAGCTACTCATTCCTCAGTAACCCCTACAGCTGTTACCAGTATGTTCTCACTGCCAGTTAATGTTTCTGGTGTCACTTCTTCTGTCATCTCTATGGTGGTGTCTGATGAAACTAAGGTGACCATGTTTGAGCCTTTTACACTGGCCAAGGATTTCTCCACATCTATGTTCTCGAATGTTTCAACTCTGTCATCTGCTACAAAAACCACAGCATTGGTGCCACAATTGAGTCAAACAGCTTCCACAACCAGTGATGCCATGCCTACCCACAAAAACTCAACTGATACCACTTCAGAGGCCGTAGTGATCTCTACTACAAAGACACCCATGGCAGTTCCCCCTCTGACAGAAACTGTAGTCTCAATGAGACCTCTCACTCCTGTGACATCTAACACTAGGACAATCCTTTCCTCCACCTCAGCTGACATAGTAACACCATCCACACACACTCTTGTATGCTCAAAACCTCCCCCTGACAACATACCTTTTGTGTCCTCTACTCATTTGGTCACAACTACATCTGCACCAGTAACAACTCAACCCATATCTCAAGTGGAGAAGACTTCTACCTATGGTCTTAGCTTTCCATATACTTTCAGCAGTGGTGGAAATACTGTTAGCTTGGCTACTGGCACCACAGAGACCTCTGTTGTTGATGAAGACATGTCTTTGCACACCTCTGCCAAAAATCTTACTACCTCAGTAGGCATTCACGTTTCTCAGCCTTCCACACGTCTTGTAAACACACCAGTCTTTACCCAATTGGCAACTGGCACCTCTAATTTATCTTCTGACCAAGAGCAGATAACCACTTCCCTGGGGAAAACCACAAGGACTTTGGCAGGGACAGAAATGTCTCCTTCAAAGAATTCTTTTATTTCCTATTCCCAGGGTACTTCATCCTTAGAAATGGCAGATACAGGATTTTCTGAAACCACAAAACCTTCTAGCTATAGAACACATTCACCTTCAGAGATTCAATCTGGGACTATACCTGATGGGAATTCAACTTCATTTCCGACTTCTGGGAGCACACAGGCTACACTTACCTTGACCTCAAGTAAAACAGCAGATGTTCACATTTCAGAAATGTCTACTAGTTTTGGGAAAACAATTCTCCCTTCACAAGCTCTGACAATAACCACTTTTTTGTCTCCTGATAAAGAAAGCACAAATGACCTTCATGTATATACTCCCAGAACTGCAGAAATGATAGTGAATTCCTCCTCTACAACTCACCTTGTCTCATATCACCAGAATACTTCAATCATTCATACCATAACTCCCAGGACAACCAGAATATCAAATAATGTACTCATCAACACAACTCTTTCAGACCTGCCTTCACTTAAGACTCAACCTGAGATAACTTCATTAGTTGCCTCTTCTACTTCTGAAAGCATACATACTTTCCCTAAGTCTTTGTCTCCTTCCACAGCTGGATTATCCAATAACAATTTTACAATGATATCAACTAATGGGATCACTACAGTCCTTTCTGTAACTACAACACTTCTTGGGGAAACTTCCACGACAACCTCAATTCCTGTTTACCATATAACCTCACTGCCAGTTAATGCCACTACTTTCACTTCCAAAAATGCTTCTGATACTCCCACAATACCAATGACCAAGTCTTCTAAAACCACACACTCAAATTGTTTGAAAAATACTACTATGACCACTTCTGGGCCCACATTTGAGATGTCTTCTAGGCCAATTAATGATTCTGTTTCCTTACCTGCAGCAGGTTCTTTTGACACTTCCACAACAAGTGGGTCATTCTCTATTTTATGGTCTTCAACTACCCCTAGGACTGCTATGACCACACAAATATCTACACTGAATGCCATACCTGTGACATATGTTGAACCTACTTCAGAAATGATCACACCTACAGCCACATCCTTTCCAACACAGCCAAGTTTTCTATCCATGAAAACCATTTCAACCACTATTCCAGCTGGAATAGTGACTTCAGTTGTAGGTACCACTGCCACCTCTCTACTTAGTTCTAAGAACAGTGAAGCTATTTCCTCCATTCCAACAAGCACGTCTTCACCATTGCTATCAACAATCCAACAATCATTAAAAGGAGATGAAGCTACAACCCTGGGCATATTACTTGGGATTACTAACAGCTCCCGTTTGGCTATGAGCAGTGGTAGAGTGACATCTCTCGCAAATACTTATTCTAGAACTCCTGTCCCTGAAAATGGGCTTTTGCCTACTCCTTCAGATAATCTTCATACTTCCTTGAATATCCAGGTTTCCCCATCTTCAACTGACTCTAAGAGCACTTTTGGATCCACAAAAAGTGTAAAAGACACCACCATTTACCTCTCCTCTAATATGGGAAATATGACTTCCTTGTCAGAAAATATTTCCTTATCAGCTGAGATAACAAAAAGAGCTACATCTGGGAATACTCCTGTTTTATATCCTTCATGGACCCCATCCAATACAACTATACCCTCTTTGACATCACTTCTTTATTCACCTCATGGTACTGAGGCAAATGCTGAGTTCTCTACTCCAGAGGTCTCTCTTACATCACAAATGGTTGAATATCCAGTTCTTGGAACAAAAATTACATCTAGTAACACAAAGTCTCTGCTTACAACTTCCTGGAACACACCCAGAACTGAATATTCTCAGTTTCCAATTTCTACCACTACTCATGTGCCTACATCCAAAAAGACAGAAACAGAGACTCTGCACCTTGTTCCTGGGTCTTTGTCAACATATGCAGCCCCGCAGACTGGTCTAGTCTCTAAAGATGTTATGGCAATGTCATCAATTACCACATCAGAACTTTTTCCTACCTTTGGTATTTCTGAAAGCTCTTCATTGTCAACATCTTTAAGAGATATCTTCACCTCTTCTGCTAACAGTAAGCACACATTTGAGAAAACAACCACATCTGTAATGCCTAGGACCATATATCCATCAAATCCTTCTAAAATCTCCAAGACTACTACTTCATCAATGCTGACTTGGGTCTTATCTAGTCTTCCTTCAGGTTTTTCCGTGGTGACTATAACTAATGCTCCTCATGTTATAACTTCCTCCCCAGTAGGGGTGTCAAAATCTACATTTCCAACTTCTTCCATGATATCAACATACCCACACATTAACATTTCAATACTTCCCTTTGCTACTGAAAGCACCACACTTACAAAAAATACTCCTACACCTACCCTGGGCAGTATCATTAATGGCTCTCCAACTTCTCTCCCCATTTCTACAAAAATCACAGATGACAATGTATACATTTCCACAACCCCTGAAGTATCCTCCAGAGCTACTATGACTACCAACTCCAGAACTATGTCTCAACCTCCATCTGTTGATGGAATGAGTATGTCACATTCTACAGCTGACCACACTCCATCTATTGGTTCCATGTCTCTGCCTAAACCTACAAAAACATCTGCATGGAGCTCAATTCCAGCCGAGTCAGTATCTTCTACTTTAACTCTTCCTAATCCCATACTAGATTACCTCATAAATACAACCACTACTACATCCAGTGCCACTGGAGCTTTATTTTCATTCACAGCTACTGGAATAACACATCCTTCCAAAGCAACTGTGACTTCACTAAAGTCTTCTTCTTTTGAGACAACCTGGATGGACTCCACATATTCCTTTCTATCTACAGAAGCACTGACTTCACCAGTTGCTGCTGAGCCCAAAGGTACTATTTCTTTATGTATGTATCCCTAATAGAAGGCATAATGGGCCATGTGTTCTCTAAGTTAGACAGTTCTCTGAGAGCAGAAAAGATGAAGAAGTGTGCAAGTGTTTCTCTTCTTCAGAGACATAGTGTTCTTGTGCAGACATAATTGTGTAGAAAAGTTTCTTGTATTTAATTAAATATAATGCAAATGTATCTTTGCACTCAGTATGACATTTTTAAGCCTCCTTTCTACACGTTTTGTTCTTGATGCTCTGACTGATTCTGCCAATGTGAACATACTAGAAAATTTTCCCCTACTCAGTAGAGATCATATGGCCCTAGATCTGACCATGTTTACCACACATCAGAAAACACTGGAATATATTCTATGCTGCCTTTGAATTCCTCATACTCAGGTCTCAGCCTTCTCCAATCCCTTTAACCAGCTGACTAAGAATACTTATCCATAGCTAGGGAATATTTGACTTCCATATTGTTCCCATTTTGTGTGTCTCTGAAACTTACACTATTCAAAAATTAAAATGATAGAATACAGAAGAGCAGGAGGAACTTAAGGGAAAGAAAACCCTGAAGCAGAAAGGAAGATTAGGTGGGAGGATGCCGGTTATTTTCTCAGTATAAATATGAGATAATGTTCATTTTGGCTATTGAATAGACTGAAAGTCTGTTGTTCAATGAAAGTAGAGAATTTGGGGGAATTTGTAGAATATTGATCAATTATGTAGAAATCAGAAAAATGTCTAAATAATTAAAGCAAAAATGGTATGATGCCATTCTGTTTTGCTTCTGAATATGGTACCAAAAGTAATGGTTCTTCACCTTACATTTAAATTATGCAAAGTTTACGCATTAGAGGTTGTTGTTTCATTTGTTTTAAAATGGAGAGCAGTTTTAATCAAATTTATAGAAGTCAAATTTCTTGAACTAAATGAATAAAATTAATCTCCTTATTTTTTAGTTACAGTTTCCTTCTACAATATTGAAATGAGCTTCTCTGTCTTTGATGAAGAGTCAAGGGTCCCTGTTACCAGTGTTATAAGTGAATTGGCAAAAAATTGGGTAAAATATTTTTTTTGAATATTTATGATACATATAAACTTCTGTGACAAAGAGTTAGTAGATTAAAACTAGATTTTACTTTTTTCTATCAATAAACCATTTCACAGATAATGAGGTTTTTTTTTTCATTGCAAATCTATTCTGTAAGCAACACTGTGAGGATCTATGCAATCTCTTTCATAGTGCCAATAGTTGAAAGCTTTTATGCAATGTTATTATTTTCATTTGTTTAGATCTGCATATTTCTCTCCAGTGACACAATTTCTGAGTCTTTGCCAAAATTTTCTATTTGGGGGTAAAATAGAAGAACAGTGACAAATTCTGTGCCATTGTATCTAAGTATCTTTGTTTTATGCAATTTAACTTTTCTCTCTCCTTGAATTTTTCTGATAATAAGACTAATTACATATGGTTTGTAAAAAAAAATTATCAGATATTAGTATCTAAAACAGAAAGCAAATATCCTCTACTGCTCCTCCTTCCATTAACTACTCCTAATGGTCTAAAGCCTATTCTTTTAGATGTTTTAGATTTTTCTATACATATTATAACATTAATGCATGTGTGTTTATTCACATAAATAATTGAAATCATGCTATTATGGCCTGACTGATTCTGTTAAGTTCCCCTTACTCAATCATGCATATTTTAAATTTTATTTTTGCAGTGCTGATTAAAAAAACCCTAGGCCTCCTAGACAAGCACTGTACCACCACTAAGCCATATCCCCAACCATTAACCATTTATCTCTGAGCATATTTATGAGAGTAAACATAGATCAACCTCATACACTTTAACAGATACATAGGATTTAACTTATATGGTTGTAATGTAGTGTTTTTTCTTTCAAATCTAGGTATCCATTGGTGGACATTTAGGCTCTTTCTATTTTTTCTCTATTTTTAACCACTTCTGAGAGCAATGCCCTTGCAACAAATTTTGAGGCACTTGAGGGTAAATCCCTAGAATTGGAATTGTTACATCAAAAAATATATAAAAATATTTTATATATTAAGAGTTATTACCGGGCTGGGGATGTGGCTCAAGTGGTAGCATGCTCACCTGGCATGCGTGCAGCCCGGGTTCGATCCTCAGCACCACATACAAACAAAGATGTTGTGTCCACTGAAAACTAAAAAAAATAAATATTAAAAAAATTCTCTCTCTCTCTCTCTCTAAAAAAAAAAAAGAGTTATTACCAAATGGCCTCCCAGATAGGTAATACCAACTTGCATCTTCCATTCAATGGTGAATGATCATATTTATTTCTCCTCTCCCCATCAACACTTATTTTCAAGTGTGTAGAACATGATTATAAGTGCTTGAAGATGGTGAGTGTATCAGTCTGCTCATGGCGTCTTATGAAGATCTGACAGACTGGGTGGTTGGAAGACAGGCATTTGTTTTCTCACAGTTCTGGAGGCTGGAAATTCAAGATAAAGGTGCTGTCAGGGTTGGTTTCTGGTGAGCTCTCTCCCTGGCTTGCATATGGCTGCCGTCTTGCTGTGTCTTCGCCTAGTATCTCCTCTGTGTTCATGCATCTCTGGTCTCTCTCTTTTTATAAGAATATCAGTTATATTGGATTAGGGACCCACTCTTATGACCTCATTTAACCTTAATCACCTCCCTAATGGCTCTAGCTCCAAATATGATCACATTTGGGGTTAGGGCTTCAACATTTGGACTTGGGGGGGATAATTAAACCCATAACTGTAGGTAAAATGTAAATTGGAAAACTAAGTGGAGCAGATGGACATGTTGAGCCAACTGAAATAATGAATACAGCTTAATGATCACATTGTCCCGGGTGACTTTGCTGGGTTAAAATAGAAGAGTGAGAATATGAAAAAGTTATTTTCTGTTTCTTTTCTTTTACAGTTGAATTATATATTTCAAGACAGTGAATTTTCCCTTGCTAATCTGGCTATCCAAATAAAAAGCAGGTATGTGGATGGCATCTTTTCTGGTTGGAAGAGCAATTTGAGAGCATTCCGGGTCTGTTCATATCCAGTAGGAATTTCTTTTTGTATGCCTCAACTTTAGGGGCTATCACATTTATAGTTGCATCTTCTTTTCTAAGTTCTCTTTGGAATGAGGAAGAAATTTGTCTTACTGCAGGGTATAAAGCCAACAGGAGGAAAAAACAAAAAAAAAAAGTTGAAATTAGACCAAGTTATCTCTACTGCTTGTATAGTTTCTAAAATTCCATGAATCTGTGACTCAAGGAAATCATGCTTTAAAGGGATGAAAATATATAGATGGCCAAATGCGTGAAGATTTATAAGACATTTTACTTTCAGATGATGCACTTTTGAGAATTAGAAATTCCAAAGGGAATATGGAATGTTTAAAATGAGGAATGTCAACTACTCCAAGACTTGCTTGGGGCACAAATTTCAAGAGGCAATTGAAATAGGCAGAAACTGAGTAGTATCAAGGAAACCATGGTAAAGGCTCTCTGTCACCTGAAAAATGCTTCCTGTGCTTTTCTCTACACATATATTAGTTTTCTATTAGAGGGACACCCAGAACAATAGGTATGGCTCTGTTAAATCATGATCAGTTGATTTTTTGAAAAAACATTAAATGTCTTACTCTATTTTCTGTTGCATTATCAGAATACTTCAGTCTGGGTAATTTATAAAGAAAAGAGGTTTATTTTGGCTCATGGGTCTGAAGGCTGGAAAGTCAACAATTATATAGATAGACACATCTGGTAAGGGCATGGTGCTGTTTCGACTCATGGTGAAGAGGGGAAGGTGTGTGAGAGCAGGTGTGTGCAGAAGAGGTAAAACAGGAGAGGCAGCCTCATTTTATAACAATCTACTCTCCAGATAACTAATCCAGTCCCATGAGAGTGAGAACCCACTCCCAAGAGAAAGACACGAATCCATTTATAATGTCTCTGCCCTAACACCTCTCACTAGACTCCATTTCCCAAGAGTGCCACTTAAGGGGCGAAGTCTCAACATGATATTTATTAGGGATAAATCATATTCAAACCATATTACTAAATGTGACTATCTTCTGATAGCTGGACTTCATTTTTTCTTATATGTTAAATATTAATAGGTGGGAGGTTCATATAAAAATAATGTAGGCAAATCCATTATAGATGATTGTCTTAGTTTGGGCTACTATAATAAAAATACAATAGACTGGGTGACTTAAACCATAGAATTTTATTTTTTATGGTCTGATAACTGGGAAGAAAGCATGGCCAGGTCCAGATAAAGGCTTCTCTGTTTATAGTGTCCTCACATGGCAGAGAACAGAGAAAGAGGAAGCTGTCCTGTCTCTACTTACAAAGGCACTAATCATGTTCATGACAGCACTAGCTTCCTGGCTTAATTACCTCCAAAAGGCCGCACATTCTAATATTTCATAGGTGATTAAGCTTCAAATTGTTAATTTTAAGTACATACAAATTTTCAATCCCAAACAATTACTAATACAATATCGGAGATATTTGGGTATACAATTTTCCTTTACAAAATTGTTTACAATTGTTCTTTATTGCAAGGTAAGATGTGGCCATTGTAAAACCTTAGAACTTAACAGAAATATATGACATAGAAAATGAAAATCCCTGGGAAGTCACTTTTCCCTACTCCTTTAAGGACTCCTGTTAGGGATGGAGACATAGATCAGAGACAGAGCACCTGCTTAGCATGCATGAGGCCCTGGGTCCTATCCTCAGCACTGAAAAAAAAAAAAAAAAACCTGAACAACTTATTTTATACATTCCTCTAAATTTTTCTCATGTGTTTACTAAGAGAACAGAATCCTACTCTGTGTACTGTTTAACAACTTTCTTTTCTTGTTTTGTTATATATAGTGTTTTCTTATTTTGTATCTTTTTGGGCCAACACATACAAATATATCTTATACATTTTGATAATTACATAAGATTCTTTTGTGGGAGCATAATATGATGTATGTGTTCAGTTGTCTAATGACAGACATTTGAGTAATTTCTACCCCAGTATATATATTTTATGCACCATTACTGGTACAATTATGGAATAGATTCCTGGAAGTAGGATTATTGAATCAAAGGTTTACCACCATTTTGGTATGTAATGACCAAGTTCATTTCAAGTGTTCCATTGAACCCACAGCACTACTTAAATTCGAAGCTGAGAGGATTCTATTCTTCTGTTTTAGAGATTTCTTCATCCTGATCTTGTGTCCTGTGTAGTTGGTACTATGTTTCACTTTTATACAATTTTATGATGCTTTTGATACAGGAAAACTTCTGAGGAAGAAATGGCCATGGACCGACTTCTTGTAAGTAATTCTGAAAAATCAACTTACCTGAGACCAATATTATAATCAGATATTAGATTAGTAAATAGATCTTTTACCCAAGGGTGTTTTATCAGGCAAGATTCATTGTTGACAATTGAATATCAAATTAAATTACTTCCACAACAATCCATTAAAAAAACCATCCCCTGCTTGTCTGAACTATCAGTGTGACAGTTTTTTGAAGCACATTTTGTGGGCTAAGAGAATGGGGAATGACGTGGGGATTGTAAATGTTACATAGAATTTCTTCTATTCTCTACAATTTCTTCTATTGTAGAGATCTCACAAAACTTCCAGCCTTTTTAAGAGTGACACAACTGTTTGCAAGACTGGTATTCACATATTAAATTTAAATATACCCTCTATATTTGTATAGCTGTGAAATCAGAGTTTGGCAAAGTTATCTCCCATCATCCTTGTCCCAAATCTCAGTACTTATTTTGGTGCCTTAAAGTCTTACAATGGTACACTCTATGTACCATTTTTAAATGATTAGAAAGTACAGAGCTTTTAAGGTATTTAAATATGAGGTAAATATTTTGACTATACAAAATACATTAAGTGCATTATCTACCATCATTTAAAATACCTCCTATATGTAGTTGTCAGAATTTTAAAATTTAACGTTATAGATAACATGATATAAATAAAACTTCAACTAGTAGTTGTAAAAGCTTTTTGGTGATAATCTGGTCAAGCTGCCTGGACTAGAATTCCTCCATTCCTGGCTGTGATATTTGGGACAACTTAATCAACCTCTGTTTCTTAATTTTCTCATCTTTAAAATGAGGATTGTTAGAAGGACAGAATGAGCTCACTTACGTTAAGTGCTTAGCAAAGGGCTCAGAATGCATTAAACGTTCCATGTTTACTATTGTCACCACTGTGTTAATATCTAGGTCCAGGAGCTTAGATTCTGTTCCTAATCCTGTTTCAGTGACTATGTACTTTTCTTTTGCATCCATTGGAACAGAGAGAAGAGCAAGGAATGCCTACAATTTCCCATGTACCATACAGGTAGGAGCTGAGCTTACTCATAGCTGGTACATTTAGTTCTGATTTTCCTTCCATTTAATTCCGTATGCACAGCCTGTTGGTCAGGGATGTCAGAAGGAGATCAAAGTACTTGATGGTTATTTTACAGATGCTGTAATTGGGCTTTTGCCTTCACAAAATAGTTGCTTTGGTTGGTCACAGCACAGCCTAGCAATCTGCCTGCTGCCTCTTTGTAGTGAGGAGAAAATGGGGTCCAAAGTGGTTATAATTGGGGGATAGGGGAATATACTGTTTGTTGTGGTCAATAAGGTTCATGAAATACTGAGCAGGAGAATTGAAAACAATGACAGCAACATAGAAAGCATCCCTGGTCCTGCTCAGATTCATGGCCCAGCTCCTCCTGGAACACTGGCTACCGTTGATCTGTTTGGTGCACATCATAATGGACATATAGCCAAAGAAGCCTCATGAACAGATCATTGAAATGTTCAAGGGGCTGGCATAGAGGGTCTGTTGCAAGCAAGATGAGAGGTTCAAAAAGAGGATTCTTATTCAGACTGGAAATCCAAAAGCTGAGACGAGATAGGGTTCAAATTCAATGTGTAGGATGAGCAGGGACTTCACCACATATAGAACAGGGGAGGGGGAGGAATCAAATAGATTGGATATACAGAGAAGTGTTGAGTAAAGGCATCTAACTTTCAAAAACTAGTAGGAAACTCAGCAAATATGTTTTTCAAAAAACGATATGTACCAAGAATCAATTAGTAGGATGGCATCAAATTAAAAATCTTCTGCACAGCAAACAAAACAAGAGTGTGATAAGAGAGCCTACAGAATGGGAAAAGATCTTTGCCAGCTACTCTTCTAACAGGAGATTAATACTCAGAATATATAAGGAACTAAAAAAATTAACACCATCCCCCCAAATAATGCAATCAATAAATGGGCAAAAGAACTAAACAGACACTTCTCAAAAGAAAAAAAATACAAATGGCCAACAAATATATAAAGAAATATTCTACATCTTTAGGAAATGTAAATCAAAACTATATTGAGCTAGGCATGGTGGCTCGTGCCTGTAATTCCAGAAATTCAGGAGGATGAGGAAGAAGTGTAACAAGTTTAAGGCCAGCCTCAACAACTAAGTGAGGTCCTAAGCAACTTTGTGAGACTCTCCCTCAAAGTTAAAAAAGAAAAAAAAAAAGGTGGTGGGTGCCTGGGAATGTGGCTCAGTGGTAAAGCACTTATGAGTTCAACTCTAGTACCAAAAAAAAAAAATACATTGGGATTTCATTCCATCCATGTCAGTGATCAAGAATACAAATAATAAAAGCCAGTGAGGATGTAGGGTAAAAGGCATACTCACATATTGTTGATGGGATTGCAAATTAGTACAACCACTCTGGAAAACAGTATGGAGATTCCTCAAAAATATATGACTCATCCATCCCACTCCTTGGTATTTATCCCAAAGAACTAAAATCAGCATACTCTAGTGAAACAGCCACACCAATGCTTATAGTAGTGCAATTCACAATAGCCCAGTTATAGAACCAGCCCAGATGTCCATGGACAGATGAGTAAATGAAGAAAATGTGGTTTATATACATAATGGAGTTTTACTGAATCACAAAGAAGAGTGAAATTATGGCATTTCCAGTAAATGGATGGAACCAGAGAACATCATGTTATGTAAGATAAACCAGCCTCAGAAAGTCAAGGGTCAAATATTTTCTCGCATATGAAGAAGCTAGAGCAAAATGGAAAAAGAGGAGATCACATGAAAATAGAAGGGAGATCAGTGGAGAAGAGGAAGGAGATAGAGGAAGAGGGAGAAGGGATGGGAAAAGGGATGAAAAGTGGAATTAAATTGACCAAATTAGGCTGTGTACATATATGAATATACCAACAGTGAAGTCCATCCTTATGTATAGCTATAAAGTACCAATTTAAAAAACAATGACTAGAGAGAAAGAAGACTTAAAGAGCAGAGGAGAGGGAGAAGGGGGAGTGAGGAAGGGAGGGTAAAAGGAAATACTGGGGGCTGAAATTGAGCAAATTATATTTCATGCACATGCAATTATGTGAAAATGAACCTTCTATTATGAATAACTATAATGTACTAATAAAATATTTTAAAACTGCATGTACTAATGGAAATGGAGGAAAGAGATATAGGTAAGTGTGAATTTTAAAAGGTTCCCCTAATGAAATATTAGAGGAATTTACAAGGGTTAAGGACCTCACTCTATGGGTCGAGGTCAGGGACAGTCTATTCTTTTATAACATATGTTTTAGTGGACAGAAACACTGGATGGGTTTTTGTGACTGAGAGAAATATCTCCCTAAAATTCAGCTCCCTCATCTGTAGAATGGGAATAATTAACCTTATAATGTTGCTCTGAGGATCAAATGACTCAAAACATGTGCAGCAAGAGCTCTACAAATGTTAGCTATCATTTTATTATTCCATTATAGAAATAAGCCTTCTGTGGATGATGTCTTTATGAACTAATTGGACATGTGTCTATTTGCCATATTGCACTAATGATGGATAAATTGGAGATCAGAAAGATAGAAGGTTTTCTCTGAAATAATAAGTCCTGAGCACTTCATACTTTCTATTAATTATTAGAAACTCCTGGAGAAATCTCATGGTTAGTCAATTTCCACATACTATAAATGTTGCTGACATTTCATTTGAAAATAGGTTTTCGGTTGTCTGTGAGAAAAAATTTTCAGAAGATTTCAACATGCTGTCTTCCATCATTTCTTAAGATTTTTCACTTAATATCTACAAAATGTTTGACATTTATGGACTACCAATTAAGGCAACTATACCAAATTTCAGCACTGCAGGCCAAATTGCACTGTGCTGACATAACTGCACATTTTCTTTTTTGTCCCATTTTGTAGCTGTGCTTGTCAGGTCATCATAAAGGCTGACTCTTCTTTAGCATCCACGGAATTGATCATCAAGATCAGAAATAAAATACATGGCAACTTCTCACGTGGAAACTTCACACAAGATCAGTTCACATTATTAGTAACGTCTGAACACATCACAGTGAAAAAGCTAGGTAATTATTTTGGTTGAGTATTTCAGTATGAATTCACTCCCCCTCTTATAAAATTCATGATGTATTCAGAGTAAGGACCCTAAGCTCAGAGGGAAGAGAAGTCATCTTCATGATCCTTTCCACATCTGCAGTACCCACTTGTCCTGATGGCCTTTCTACCTTTAAAAGCTTGTGAAAGAAATGGATTGCCTGAGAGTTTATAAGAGATCATTTGTCAGCTGTGGATATTAGCAGTGGCCAGTCTACCCACAGTGTGGGAGGATTGTCTCTCTTGCACAAAACACCCTGAATCCCAGAGAGCTTTTTTATTACATACAATAGATGCCTAATAGATACTTGCTAATTTATTGTTTCATTCAGGCATCCTATTCATCTTGAGAAGTGATTTGGGAACTGTCCCAGATTTCTCTCCTAGGCCTTTCCTGATTAGGAATGCTTAACTGGTAAAAGTAAAATCCTACCAGTCTACTCTACTTCTCTCCCATTGCTGCCAGCTTTGTTTCTTGCCCCAACAGACTGTCATAAAAACTTTCTAGTGAACCCGGACATACACAGATATTCCTACTCACAATCCTTGGCAGCAAGTGAATGAAGTAGCAGAGGGCAGGCTGTGATTGCACAAGAGAGAGAGTGGGATGAGAGGCAGAGAAGTGGGAGGGCACAGGCACAGCCCATTGTGCAAAGGATGCTGATGCTGATAAATGTGTCCTGAAAGTGATAGGAAGGTACTTTACCTCCTGGCTCACAGAAAACACTGGGATGGGTGGTTTAAAAGAAGGACAGTTGACAGGTGGATACTTTTGATGCTTTCCTCTAACACCCCTTTATGTGACTGGATTTTTTTTTAATGCATATATACTATTTAAACAACAACAACAAAATTTTTTTTTCCCTGTCAACTGATGGCTTTAATGAAAAGGACTAAACCCGTGGTTATACTGGATGGCTTATTTAAACAAGAATACTCTATTTAAAGCTATTTTCAGTGCAGCCTGATTTAAATGGCCTGGTAGAAAGAGCCTCCTCTTTTATTTGCTGATGTGTGTGCAGGGTAGTAATGATGGGTCGTAATGGATGCTCATGATACTTTTAAGAGCCTTTTGCCCTTGAAAATGTGCATACATTTTCTCTGTAGATCCAGGAAAGTGTGAAGCCCACGAAACACCCACTAAATACAAAGGGACATATAAGTGGCTATTAACCTACCCTACTGAGACAGCCCAAACCAGATGCATAAAAAATGAGGATGGAAATGCCACTAGAATCTGGTATGTACCGGCCAAGTTCTAATTGTTAGTTCACATTCACAAAGATCCGCTTCGTTGGGGGCATGTTTCTATGTCATTTCTCTGGGCGTGCTCCCTCCCCTCCACCTCTACTGCCAGTCTTTCTTTTCTTCACCTTGTGGACTTAAACATACATATGCAATATAATAAGAAAATAATGTCAAGAAGACAAAGAGAGAAGTCAGTCACCATCCCACCATTGAACACAGCTGTTTTTAGGTTGGCATGTTGTCTTTCTCTGTATGCCTTTAAATTTTCTGTGGAGGTAATCACAGTTCAGTTCTCCAATCCGTAATGTAATTTACCCTTTCACTCAATGGTTTATCAAACATTTTCCGTGTTTTACATTCATCTTCTTAATGATTATTTCAAAAATCGGCCTCAGATGCTGTCTCGTTGATGGGCCATAGTAATTTACTAAATCACTCTTCTATTGTTGACTTTATCATTTTCCTTTTTAAAATCATCAGCCCTTTTTTCTTACTCTCTGCTGTTAATGGTTTATGCCATTAACTTAAGTGGGCAAGACCAGAAGGACAGCAGGTTTTGACAGAGGCTTAAAAGCACCCTTAGAAAGCCACATCTCCAACTGTATGCTACCTTTCCCTGCCTACATCTAATCAGTCCTCAAGGAGGGCAGTTCTGACAGCCATAGTCAGGGCCCACATGGAGCCTCTCCTTTCCAACCCCACTGCTTGGCGCAAGCCCATTACTAGCTCTCACCTCCTGTTAGAGTAGTCCCTTCGCCTTCTAAGCACCAGCTACCCCAGCTCCATTACACACTGCTGCCAGCATGATTATCCCAAAGGCTAACTGTCTTCATGTCATACCCCTACTCAGGAACGAAATCCAAACCCCTAAATGCAGTCCTCCAAACTGTAGACTCCCTCTCCTGCTGTCTCGTTCACCACTTCCCCTCCCTTTACCATGCATTCCAGCCAAAAAGACCATTTGTTAGTCTGGACTCAATGGACACTTCCTTGTGTCTCTCTCTGTGCTTGTGCTGTTTGCTGTGCAGGGAGATGGGGGTCAGGTGGGCAAGTTGTATGTTTTTCTTTGCCTCTGTCCTTTCAGCACTGGGCTCAGCTCAAGTGTTGAAAATAAGTTCTTGCTTGATGGTTTGATGCATTCCATTTTGTTTATACAGTTTTTCTTATATTTTGTCCAATTTTAAAGAAGGTAACATTTAGAATCTGAAACCACTGAACTACACAAATCTCAGGGGAGGATCAGCCTAGAACATAATGGGTACTCAATGAATGTGCTGGCTGACTTGAACTGTGTTAAACTGGATGAGGCACTGGGAAGGGTGGCTGAAAGTGTCAGTGAGCTACAGAGGGTTCTATACTAATCACCTAGAGGAAATTTATATGCTGAGTTAGAGACTGCATTCCCACAAGAATTTCCCTTTACAATTAGAGGTAAGAGGAGGAAATGAAGGTAAGTAGTCATGTTCAGCAGACTGACATCTCTGCCTTGACTCTTGATCAGCCAGACATTGCCCTGCCTCCCTCCCCCATCTCTGTTGCCTAGTCATCCTCCCACCTGCTGACCCTAGTTTCACTTGTTCTCAAAGAACAAATTTTTCTTCACTTTACAAAGAAGTACTGTATTCCTGCCGTGCTATCTTGGCCAGAAGGCTGGGGGTGGGTCAGGGAAAGGCATGCCAAAGATAGACCTATTTTTTCATCCTTGGATGTCTTTTATTCCTCCCTTCTCTCTTTTTCAGTTCAATCAGCATTCAAACAGGCAAATCTCAGTGGGAGAAACCAAGGTTTAAGCAATGTAAATTGCTTCAAGGACTTCCTGAAAAGATTGTGGATCTTGCTAATATTACCATCAGTGACGGTAAGATTGTTTTGTACACATCGGAGAAATGGAACCTTAGCTAGTTTGCCTACTTGTCCTGAGACCAGAGAGTACAGGTAAACCTCGTTTAATGAAAATCTACCCTATAATAATCCAGTTTCAGAAACTAGGTAGTTAGTTTAAGTTGCTGGAAGTGGTGGGGATGTGACAAGTTAAGACTATCACGGTTTTTAATTTTGTTTTATGTATTTTTGTTTTATGATTTTTGACTTACTATTTTTCATTTTATCTTAAATTTTGCAAAAAAGTTTAATTTATAAATACCTCATCTAGTCCAATATTCAAAGACAAAAATAATCTACAGTGAAACATCTCCCTGCCAGTGGTGGCCCCAGCCATTCAGTGACTATTCACAGAGAGAGTATACACATCTATAAAGAAATGTGTAGGGGCTGGGATTGTGGCTTAGCAGTAGAGCGCTCACCTAGCACATGCAAGCCCTGGGTTTGATCCTCAGCACCACATAAAAATAAATAAATAAAATAAAGGTATTGTGGGCTGGGGATGTGGCTCAAGTGGTAGCGCGTTTGCCTGGCATGTGCAGGGTGCTGTGTTCGATCCTCAGCACCACATAAAAATAAAATAAAGATGTTGTGTCCACCGAAAACTAAAAAATAAATATTAAAAAATTTTCTCTTTTTTTCTCTCTCTGTCTTAAAAAAAAAGAAATGTGTACAACATACGCACTTGTGCCTGTATATGTTCTCCCTCCCTTTTTCTCTTTTTTTCCGATTTTTTTATTGGTGCATTATAGTTGTACATTTTGATGGGATCTGTTGTCCCATATTTGTACATGCACACTCTCCCTCTCTTTTGTATACAGGATAGAGCATGTCATACATACCATTCTGTACCTCACTCTTTTCTCTTAACAATATAGAGAGGGAATTATTATATCGTTATATAAACAGCTTATTCATGCCCCCACACTAACTATATTATATTTCATGAGTGTGCTGCAGTTTATTTATTGGTAATTTATTTATTTGTTCATTCAATAAATTTATTTTTAATTGGCACAAAAACATAAAAGTTGTACACATTCATGAGGTACTATGTGATGTTTGATATACGTAAACATTGCATACTATTTAAATCAGATTAAATATATTTATTTTCTCAAACATTTACCATTTGTTTATGGTGAAAACTTTAAAAATACTTTCTGAAATGTATAGTACATTACTGTTATCTGTAGACACTCTACTGTGCTATAGTACCCCAGAGCTTCTTGCTCCTGTCTAACTGTAACTTAGTACCTATTGATCAACTAACCTTTCCCCATTTTTGAAAAAAACTCTCCATAACCTATTTATTTAAGCTTTTTTCTATGTATGGATACTTAGATTATCAATAACATTTTCCTTTAAAAACACTATCACAAACTGTTTTTACTTATTTGTGTTTTTTATTAAAAGGAAAAATAGCATATGTTTAAAAATATATTTTTATTAGTATGTAAAATGTTTCAGAACTGGCATTCTCTAAGCAACTGATATAGAAGGATTCATTTCTTTTCAGATTACATTTATAGACCATGTTAATTTTCATTCTGATTTGTGAAACTTCATTAGTGTATTCCATACTGTTAGATAAAAGAGACTCAAAACAAAGTGTATCTCTTTAAACTACATTGGGATATCATTTTTCTAATCAAATCACCAAACACCTAAAAGGCCAATAACATGCTGTGTTGATTAAATTGTTCTAAAACAGGTACTTTGATAACTTACAAGTGGGAATATAAAAAAAACACTGCTGTAGTGGATATCATAGGTATGTCACAATTTGTGCAAGTAGGGTATAACTGAAGCATAAATTCTTGCAAGTGGAATGTCTAGGTTAATCCTATTTGAGATGATGTCAAAATTCTCCCTATATAGTTACACCAATTTATTCTCAACACAGCAAGTTTTTAGACTCTTGGGTCTTTGTTGATTTGATTAGCAAAAATTGAAGTCTCGATGTAGTTTAATTTTTTTGGTAGAGATATTCATATGTCTGTATCTACTTAATATATACAAATTAGAAGAGTATTTTCTCAGAGGACTTTTTTTTAGCACATTCAATAGCTTGTGAAACTAGCATCATTAATTTTCCCAAGAAGAAACCTTGTACCCATTAGCAGTCTATTTATCTCTCTTTCAGTTCTTGTCCAGCATGCGTCCACTTTGTATCTCTCTGAATCTAAGCATTTCATAATGTTTTGGAGGTTTGTCCATGTTGTAGCATGTGTTGGAATTTCATTTCCTTTTTTGTAGATCTGTGTTTACTTCTGTTATGTATATTGAAGTGTAGAATTGCTTGGTTCCTATAGTAACCCTACAATTAGCCTTTGGAGGACTGCAGAACTTTCCCACAGCTGCTGTACCATCTTACATCATGCCAACACTGTCCAAAGATTCCACTATTCTTACATATTTGTAAACACTCATTATGGTTCATTTTAAACTATGGTTGGTGGTAATGCCTCCCCCTAACATGGGCACCTTCATTCCTGATTTTGGTAATTTGTGTCTTCTCTTTTCGTCTTGGTTAGCTAAAAGATTTTGAATTTTGTTGATTATTAAAATAGTTTCTTCATTTGGAGGAGTTTCAGGTTCACAGCAAAATTGAACAGAAAACAGAATTCCCGTATGCACACCCCCTTGAAACATGAACAGCTAGCCCTCACCATCAACAACCCTCACCAGAGTGCTACATTAGTTACAACTAATAAACCTACCCTGAAAAATCATAATCGCTAAAAGTTCATAGTTTCCATTAACATTCACTTTTAGAGTTGTTTATTTGAACAATTGTATCATTCAGAATCAATTCACTACCCTAAAAATTCTCTGTGCTTCACTTATTCATTCAACACTTCCAACTAACCCCTGGAAACCACTGATCTTTCTATTGTCTCCGTTTTTGCCTTTTCTAGAATGTCATGTAGTTGAAATTATATGGCATATAGCCTTTTCAGGTTGGCTTCTTTAACTTAGTTATATGCATTTAAGGTTCTTTCATGTCTTGTCATGGCTTGATAGCTTATTTCTTTTTAGCACTGCATAATATCCCATTGTCTGAAAGTACTACATTTTATTTATTTGGTTATCTACAGAAACAAATCTTGGTTGTTTCCATATTTGAGCAATTATGAATAAGACTGCTATAAACATCAGTGTGCATGTTTTTATATGGATTTGTTTTCAATTAATTTGGGTAAATACCAAGGAGTGAAATTGCTGAATTAAATACTAAGAGCATGTTAAGTTTTGTAAGAAACTGTCATATCTTCCAAAGTGGCTGTATTATTTTAATTCCCATCAGCAGTGAATGAGAGTTCCTGTTGCTCCACATCTCTACCAGCATTTTATGTTGTCACTGTTTTGGATTTTGATCGTTCTAATAGGTGTGTGATGGTATCTCATTGTGTCTTTAATTTTCAATTCCCTAATGATGTGTGAAGTTGAATATCTTTTCATAACTTACTTGCCATCTGTATATCTTTTTTTGGTGAGGTGTATGGTATACAATGAATGTTTATGCCCCATCACCAAATTTATATGTTAAAATCCTTATCCCAAGGTGACCTTATGGTAGGTGATTAGGTCATGAAAGTGGAGCTCTCATGAATAAGATTAGTGCCCTTATAAAAGAGGGCTGAGGGAGCTTGTCTGTACCTTCCATCATCTGAAATTATAGTGAAGAGATCATTGTCTATGAACCAGGGAGTGGAGCCTCATCAGACATTGAGTTTGAATGGATAAGGAAAATGTGGTATATATGCACAATGGAGTTTTGCTCAGTCATAAAGAAGAATGCAATCATGTGATTTGCAGGAAGCAGAAAGTCAAGGACTTCATGGTTTTTTTTTTTTTTTCATATGTGGAAGCCAGAGAGAAAAAAGAAAGGAGAATCTCATGAAAATAGAAGGGAGACCAGTGGAGTAGAGGAAGGGGGCCTGAGAGAGAGAGGAAGGGAGGAAAAAGGAAGGTACCTGGGAATTAGTTTGACCAAATTACGTTTGTGCACTTATGAATATGTGACAATGAAGCTGAATATTATGTACAATTGTAATGCACTAGTAAAAATGATCTTAATAAAAATGAAAGGGAAAAACTAAATTTCAATTTCTATGCCAGTTATCAGATGTGGCTTTACTGCATAAATTGGGTCTCTGCCATAATGAATTGTCAAAAATTGAGGCATAAGCACTCCAGTGCCTTGCAGAAGAGCCAGGAAATTGGCCTGGAGGCAGTGAACTTCTTGGACTTATCTTCCTTGTGGAAGATAGAAAATTAAGACCCTTGTCCAGGAATATCTAGAAGAATTAGAAAAACAAGCACAACTTTGATGGTTCCTAGTTCAGAACTCATGAGTCAGGGCAGTAGGGAGTGTTGCAGCTTATAGTGAGTGGGAGGAAAGATGGAAAGGTCTGTGTTTCACGCTGACCTGCCTCCTTCTGAGTGACACATTTTCTTTAGACATGCTAATAGAATTTTCTCTTGTGGAAGAAAAAGTTTAAAAACAGCCATAACAACAACAAAAGCACTGTATCGAGTTCGGATTTTTAGAAAATTGACTGTGAGAAGTCATTACATCCATATATCTATACACATACACACACATACATACACTACTGTGGAGCTAAAGGACAGTTGGATGGTGATTGTAATGTACATAACTGAAAAATAAACTATCAAGTTTTTTCGCTTTGGAGTAATTCTCTTCTTGTAAGTTAGGAGCTTAGTGAAAAATGGGTGCAATGTAAAGGAAAGAAAAACGTATTCATGTTGGAATAATTTATTTTCATTAGTTTTTAATCTTGTTGACAAGTATTAGATATCATGGTTGAATCTTAGTTGGACAAAAACTTTTTAGTTATTCCACTTGACTGCTCATTTTTCTTACCTCCTCAGTAATCACAGAGTTAGAAAAGGCATCCTTATTTCAAAGTTCTTTGAGGCCTTTTCTGTTCTTAGTTTGGGTTACTCACATGACAGTGAAGATACACCAGTTGGCTAAGACATCACAAAATTCTCTCCTATCCATGTCCTCCTGCCATCAGGGTAGGATTGTGTGTGACTAAGGACGAATGATACTAGCTGGGGACATAGCTCAGTGGTAAAATATAAGCCTTGCATGCCAGAGGCCCTGGGTTCAATTTCCAGTAGGTCAAGTAGACCTCCTGCTAGTCCAGTGCCTAACAATATGAAGAAATTAAGAAGAAGATGCTATAGTAAAAAGTGATATTGGAGAATTCAAGCTCTGGAATCAGAGTAGATTAGAATTTCTCAATCTGTATAAAGGGAGATAATATGAGAACTCATCACATAGAATTATTGTGGTGAGAAAATGCATGTGTAATGCCTTACTGTTGTATCTTGTTTCCAAAATGCCATACATCACTTTATTCCTTCCTCTTCAAGCGAGGATGGCTTGTGACTGCAAAGTATGGTAGAATTGGGAAATAGAGATGTTGCCAATTATGTGATCAACTTTTAAAAGGACTGAAAGTTTTCTTTCCTCTTGATACACTTTCATTTGGGATGCTGCCTCTCAGAACTTATGGTTTTGAGTATCACCATTGTTTTGAATATAATTCACTTAATTGTACATTTATAGAATTTAAGTTTTAGTGATCTGTCTGCTTAATAACCAGTTCACAAAATTCACCCAAATTTGTGACAGGTTCCCATGAGCTAGTACAAACCAGCTCTAATACCTCACATCTGGATCTAGCACAACACTGAGAGAGGTCATGGGTAGGGAATGTAGAGAATCCCCAATGACCAACACATGATCATCATCAACTAACAGCCATGTGAATGCACCATTTTGAATTTGCAGCCCAGTCCAAGCCTTCAGATGTCTCTAGCCCCAGCTGCCACCTGACTGCAGCTGCATGAAAGATCCTAAGTTAGAACTGCTTGGTTGAATCTAACAGAGCCATGAAAGATAATAATTAATGTTGTTTTAAGCCATTAATTCTTGGGGTAATTTGTTATGTAGCAACAGGTAACTAGAACATTAACTCCCAGAAATTAGTCAGTAATAATGCATGTTATTATTATTGTTTTGATTGTTGCAATTATTGGCAGATTAATTGTAATGCTATTTCAAGCAATATTCTGCAACTAATAAAAGAAGATTCATTTTATTGCTTTTGTTTGGGGACCTAGAAGTTTTACACAATAAATATAATTTAGCCTGAATTTTCCTTAAAAATTGTATAACTCCAGATGAAAAGTCTGTAATTACTTTCCACAGAATAGTTAGGCTCCCATTGGCCTGTTGTTTACTTTCATTCTGCCACAGCAGGGACTATGTGAAGTGAAGTCACACCACTGAAGCCTGAAGAATCATGACTAGGCAGCTCCAGCTATTCCATTTTCAACAGAGCTTGAACAATTTAACAAGAACGGTAGAAAGATCCATGAATAAGCTCACCATATTTTTCTTCTATCCCTAGTCTTATAGTTTTCTCAATTTGTTTAACTGACCCAAGGAAAGATATTAATAGGGACAAAATATTAGTTTAGAAACAACTACATACTTAGTCAATGTCCCCCTTTGTTCCCATCTCCTCAGGGAGAACCCTGTTTTTGCCAACTCAGTTCCTACATAAGCCACTGTGGAGTGGGGGCTATTCAGAGGACCTCAGTTAAGTTTGCTTAATTTACATTGATGAGGGCAGAGTTGTTTGTAGAACAAAAAAGAATAGAGCAAGAAAATGGGGGAAAGGGAAGAGAGGGAAAAACACTCTATGCTAGCTTTGTTAGGGGTAAAGTTATAGGGAGCTTGATTGAGGTAGGGGAGAGATTTGAAGAGATGCTGAGGACCATGGAGGACCATAAAAGAGAGGGAGGGAGGGATGAAGAGAGAGAGAGAAACAGAGAGCGAATTTTATGTGATATTATATTGTTTTCTCAAACTCAGTTGTTCATATGCAATATAACTGACTCAAATATGTCACAACTGTAATCTCTGGAAATTTTCCTAACAGACTATATTTTTCAATTGTTTTCCTTGTCTGTTTTATGTATGCATATTCTCTTATGCACCTAGACCAGTGCTTTTCACGAAATAGATACTAATTTAATATTTCCTGAATAAATAGTAATACTCTTTCCCAAAAAAGTAGGTGATAATTCAGACAAAGCAATTATTTTTAAAAATTATGAGATAGTTAAGGATACTTGAACACTGATAGGATATTTTATATTTGTAAATATTACTGCAAATTTTTCAACTTAAATTTAATTTAATTAGAATCATGGTTAAGACAAATGAAAGTTTTTTTAAAAGATATATCCTAGTTATATTGTTACATCATCTGCATGCATGACTATGTAACAAAAAATCCCATTTTTATCAATAATTATAATGAACCAATAAAAAACACAGAAAAAAGACATGTATTAAATTATTTATGAATGAAATGATATGACGTCTAGGACTTGCTTTAAAATAATCTGGGCTTAGGAAGAATGTGGGTGAGACAGTAGATAAAATAAGATTAGCCTCTCATTGACAATTGTTGAAGTTGGGTGATTCATGAAGTACATGGAGATTCATTATACTATTCTTCTACTTTTGCGTATGCTTCAAAATTTCCATTATAAAAAGTGAAGAAAAAAGTGGGCGGGTTAATGTCTATTGTTCTTACTCTCTAGAAATTCTAAATTAATTGCTTTTTATTATGTGGTCCATATTTGCTTTTTTGCTGTGTGGGTTGCTGGTTCTTGACAGGAAATTGTACTCACTACCCTTGACTGGGAAATCATAGACTGTGTTTGCTGATATTTGAGTACAGATGGAATCTACTTAACTCAATCCAACACTTCGAAGTCTTAACTTAATTAGAATCAAATTTCAAGATAATTCTTCAGTGACAAAAAGATTTCCCTAGTGCATTTAAAAAAGGGTTTTAATGAATAAAAACTTGATTTGTGTGCCACTTTCTGGGACTATATTTGCTGTAGAAATTGAGATACAATGTTTCCCTTCTGCAAACTTTGTTACTTTGGCATGTATTACGATTTCACTGCCTTTATTTTTTAAAGGGAAGGAAGCATACCAGCATGGTCCAAAACTAAGTATGATAATGTAGATGGTGCATTTCTGTTTTGCTTCCCCAGAGAATGCAGATGATGTTGCAGAACACATTTTAAATCTGATAAATGAATCTCCACCTCTGGATGAAGAAGAGACGAAGATTATTGTTTATAAAGTAGCTGAGATTTCAAAGTGTGATGAGATAAGTATGAACCTAACCCAGATTATATTACAAATAATCAATGCTGTTTTGGAAAAGCAAAACAATTCAACCTCCAATCTACATCAAGTAAGCAATGAGTAAGTACTAATGCTTTGGTAAATTATTTCACATAATTTAAGTGACATATTATTACTTCCTTAGCCTACAGTCCTCAACAGTTTTATGCATTGAAAGCTGATTTAGTACAGCACAGTGAGGTCATTTAACTCTAATCCCAGTTGTGAAATAGTGAATTCAAAATTGAATTGAGTCTTAGTCATAACAACATCTTTTCAAGTAAATAGTGACTCCAAACTAAACTTCCAATTTATTTCCCCATCATGCCACTCCCCCAGGGTTCTGCATTTCTTTAAAATGTACCCAACCAGTGCTAATCTGAAAAGTGGGAGAATCATGCTATTTACCACCCTATAGCTCATAGCCAATAAAATAACATGACTCTTACATGAGGCACTCTATATGTATTTTAAAATATCTTAAATATTCTGGTGGAAATCCATCTACTTGTCTCCATCTCCAGGCCTAGTCTTATTTCTCTTCCTTGATCATCTAAAATAGCCTCCCAATTGATTTATCTGCCTGCACTCTTGCCCCTAACAGTCCATCTTCTATGTAATAGAGTGATCTTTCAATGCATTTATCATATCATGTCATTCTTTTGCTTTTAAACCACTAGGGTGCCATTTCATTACATGCCAAATAAAATAAAAGCCAAACTTCTCATAAGGTCTATGTGCCCTGCAGGATCTGGCTTTACAAACAACAATTTCATTTATTTTTCAAAATGATCTTTTGAGATGTGTGATTACATCTGACTCTATAGAGGAGAAAACTGAAGCTCAGTGAGGTCACTTTACTTGCACACACAGTTAGAAATTAGAGGAGCTAACGTGTAGATCTCAGGCTGTCTTGTTCCCAAACCAGTGCTCTTGTCTAATAATTCCTGAGGAATATAAAGATGGGGATTAAAATACAGTCTCACAATGAGGAAATCTTGTCAGGGGATGGGTTTTATATTTTAAAAAAGTAAGAAGACTCTTCTTTACACTTTCCTGATAGAATTCTGAGGACAATTGAGCGTGCTGGTCACAAGATGGAATTTTCTGGGAGGACAGCAAATCTTACTGTGACCAGGTTGGCTTTGGCTGTGCTACGGGTGGATCATACTTTCAAAGGTATGGCCTTTGGCATCCCCTCCTATGAAGAAGGTGCAGACCCTCAGGTGAGTGCAGCTTTGGAAACTGAGAACCAATTGGTCACACACTCTTTCAAGTCTTTATTTACTTGTTAGGAGGGAAAGAAAAGAGGGCACTGTTTTTCTTGTAGTTCTGGGAATGGAACCCAGGACTTCATGAATGCCAGGCAAGCACTCTACCACTCAGTCATATCCCCAGCCCTGCAGGACACTCTTAAAGTTTAACTCTTCAGGAGACCTTTTAAAAATGCATATATCCCAGGAAAGATTCATATGTAACCCTCAGGGGGCTACCATCTTAATTGAAATGGTGTCTGTGAGATGTGTGATGATGCTACTTTTAGCCCTGTGACCTGACATTATCTCAAATGTCAGTTTATTATTTTCCATCATTTATGGAACATTTATTATATGTTGAGCATTGTGCTACTGTTTATAGATGAGGAAACAGAGAAGTTAATTTGTCTAAGGAAATACAGCCTCATGACTAAGTCAGAATCCAAATCTTTCTGTCTAGCTTTAGAATCTGGGCCCAGAATATTTAATACAAAGAAATTATAAATGTTTGAAGTGATAGATATGCTAATTACCATGATTTTATCATCACCTGTGTATCAAAATATCAGACTGTGCCCTATAAATATGTACAATTGTTATATATTTGTTATGAAAAAATAGTCTGGTCCCTTTTTACTATATCATACTACCTCAGCATTTGGCAGATCATAAGCCACCAATACCCCTGAAAAAATTTTGAGTGACCAGACATTTTTTATACTTATGGTAAAACGTATAAATCCTGAGTTTACATTATAATCTGTACAACCCCAAACCCTATCAAGATATAGATATCACTATCACTTCTGAAAATCCCTTATGCTCCTCCCCATTCAATCCCTGAAACTGCTACCTCCAGGGTCACCACTGTTCTGATATTTTCCCACCATAGATTATTTCTGTTTTAGAACTTTATACAAATAGAATCATTATAATATGTATTCTCTTCTGTAAGACTTCTTTCATGTAGCAGTATGTTTTTTTTGAGAGTCACCCCTTTTCCCATAGTTTTTTCCTTTGTATTTCTGAATAATATTCCATTTAATATATATGCCATATATTGTTTGTCTATTCTGTTGATGAACACTTGCATTGTTTTCAATTTGGAGCTATTATGAACAGTGCTATTATGAGCATTTGTGTAAGTCTTTGCATGGACATATGTTTTCATAATTCTTGAATAAATACCTAGGAATGGAATGGCTGGCTCACTGGTTATATGTTTAAATTTATAACAAGCTGTCATATTGATTTTTAAAGTGGATAATGATGTGGAGTAATTGTTTATTTTTGTAATGACCATTCATACATCTTCTTTAGTCAAATACTGTCAAAATCCTTTGCCCATTTTTAACTTGGCTTGTTTACCTTCTTGTAGAGGTGTAAGTATTTTCAATATATTCTGGCTCAGGTCATTCATCAGATACAAGTTTTGAAAGTATTTTCTCTGTATCTTGCCTATTTTTCTTCTCAGTGGTGTCTTTCAATGAGCCGAAGTTTATAATTTCATAAGGTCTCATTTATAGTTTTTTTCTCTTATGAATAACCATATATTGTTTACCTAAATATCCTGTCTGCCAGCAAGTCATGATGATATTCTTCTATGCTTTCCCTTAACATATCTTTGGTTTCAGCTTTTATATTGAGAATGATAATCCTAGTTAATTGAATGAATGTTTGTACAAGGTGTGAGTTAGGGGTTGGGGATAATTTCATTCCATGTTGATATCTAGTTTTTCCAGCTCTATTTATTGAAAACTTTCCCTTTCCCATTGGCTTGTTTTGGTACTTTGGCCAAAACAAAAAACAAACAAACAAACAAAAACCTCAAACTAATAATTAAAAAAAATAACAGTTATGTACTGTAGGTCTGTTTCTAGCTTTTCTTTTCTGTTGCATTTATATTTTGTAGATTCTGTCTTGGTGTTGTCTTCAGTCCTGAAGTCAGTAGTGTGAGTCCTTTAACTTTGTTCTTTTTCAAGATCACTTCAGCTGTTCTAAGCCTTTTTCATTTCCATATGAATGTTTACATTTGTTTATCAATTTGTGTAAAAAGTTTACTGAGATTATGATTGGGATGGAAGCTATTGATTAATTTTGGGAGAATTTATATCTTAACAACATTGAGTTTTCTAATCCAGTAACACCCAGGTCCACTAAAATTTCTCTCAACACCATTTTATAGTTTTACGTGGAGAGGCATTATATGATTTCTTTGATAAATTTATTCCTATTTTATGGTTTTTATGTTATTGTAAATGAAATAGTTTTAAAAATTGACTTACTAATTATTTGCTGAATAAATACCTGGGAATAATTATATATAATTATATATAATTTATGTAGCCTATGAATTTGCTAGATTCACTTTTTTGTTATAGTAGTTGTTTTGTAGATTCCTTAGGACTTTAAATAAAACAACACTATCTGACAATAGAGAGTTTTATGACTTCCTTACTGATATTTATTTCTTTTATTCCTTTTTCTTTTGGGATTATTTTGATGTCTAATACTTCTGGTAAGATATTGAATAGATGTGGTTAAAGTGGGCATCTTTGTCTTTTTTTTGACATTAGATGAATAAATTCACTATTTTACTATTACCATTATGTTAGTCCTATTTTTATTTTTAAGATGTCATTTATTTGACTGAAGAAATTACTATTATTTTAACCTGGGGTCTTTCTATGTTGCCCAGGCTGACCTTAAACTCCTGGTTTTTAAAAATAATTTCTGTCAGACTTTGGATTTAGGCTGGGCTCAGTGCCATATGTGTGTAATCCCAGCAACCTGGGAGGTGGGAGAATCACAAGGTTGAGGCCAGACTCAGAAATTTAGAAAGACCCTGTCTAAAAATAAAAAGCCCTGGGGGATATAGCTTGGTTGTAAAGCACCCCTGAGTTCAATCCCCAGTACCAAACAAACAAACAAACAAACAAACTTTAAGATCTTGCCAACTTTATAAAAGTGAGTTGGGAAATGGTCCCTGTTCTACTTTCAGAAGTACTTTAGGAAACATTGGTGTTATTTATACACTAAATGATTGATGAGATTCATTCTTAAGGAAAATTAAAATAAAATCATTGGTGATATTAATCATACGGAATGGTGGGTTTCATTGTGACATGTTTGTTCTACATAAAAGCATAGTTTGATCCATTTTACTTCCCAATATCTTCTCTACCTCCTCCCAACCTGAACCCATTCCTCTACCCTAATGTTTCCCCTTTTACTTTCATTGCATCTCCCCTTCCTCCTGCCCCCCCCCAACTTCTTTATGGGAAATCATTAATAGCTAATTCAAACTATTTTTAAATATTTTTTAAATTGTACTCGGACACAATACCTTTATTTTATTTATTTTTTATGTGGTGCTGAGGATCGAACCCAGCACCTTGCACATGCTAGGTGAGAGCTCTACCACTGAGCTACAACCCTAGCCCTGATTCAAACTATTTAATGGATATAGTGCCATTCAGATTTTCTAGTTCATCTTTTGTCTGATTTAGTATTTATGTATTTATTTATTTGATTTATATATGACAGCAGAATACATTACAATTCTTATTACACATATAAAGCACAATTTTTTCATATCTCTGGTTGTATACAAAGTATATTTACACCAATTTGTGTCTTCATTCATGTACTTTGGATAATAATGATCATCACATTCCACCATTATTAACAACCCCCTGCCCCCTCCCTTTCCCTTCCACCCCTCTGCCCTATCTAGAGTTCCTCTATTCCTCCCATGCTCCCCCTCCCTACCCCATTATGGGTCAGTCACTTTATATCAGAGAAAACATTCAGCATTTGGTTTTTTGGGATTAGCTAACTTCACTTAGCATGACATTCTCTAATTCCATCCATTTACCTGCAAATACCATGATTTTACTCTCTTTTAATGCTGAGTAATGTTCCATACTTGGAGTCCTTATTTATTGTTGGATTTTATTCTCTAAAGGGCAGGTAACAAATATTTTTGGCTTTGTATGCCATAAGTGGTCTCTTTCTATTGTGGGTTCTTATTTATTAGTGTTTGTTTCTCTTCTCTTCTCTCTCTATATTGTACAATCTTGAAGCAATGAAATATAAAGTCCATTTTTACTTCAAGGTGATATAAAGGCAAACCTTTGGTAAGATGTGGTCTTCTGACTAGTTTGTCAACCTCTGATGTATAGTGTTAATTCCTCTTTCATTCAGAGCTTTAGATGTCCTTTATAGCATTAGTTTCTGTCCACCATCAGGCAAACAGCGTGAAAACAGACAACTGACCCTGTGATGTTACCTTTTCTCAAATGTCTACTCTTCTCCAGATTTTGTCTGCTTTTGTTCATTTTCCAGTGACTTCAAGCCATTGTTAGTTTATATAGTTGTTATATGTAGTGGGCATCAAATCTGTTAAGAGCTGCTTAGCCATACTAGAAGCACATGGTGACTTCCCATTGTATTTTATTTACATATGTAATTTTTTATTATAAAGTTGGTGAATAAATCAACTAACCTAAATCACACTCTTGGTACCAAACTGTGTACATTTTGAAGCTAAAACATTACCTTTCTGTGATACTTGATTGCCTGAGCATAGATCATTTGTGCTAGGGAAGAAGGAGCCATTTATAGCTTTTGGTTTCATAAGTTATTTTTAGAAATATTGTAAAGCTTCGTACTCCCATTATACACCAACTAGGTAATAGCTTCTTGAGAGGGAGCATACATAATAGAAAAAAAATGTTAAACTAAAATCATATATATCTTTGTTCAGCCACATCCTAGCTTTATGATCTTGGACAAGTCACATAACTTGTTTGAACCTCTGTTTCTTCTTATAATACAAGCATGCTTAAACAAGGGTGCTCATGAACCCTGTTTTTCTCTGGGAGAGAACAGGTTTACAACTGTGTTTCCAGTGTAATTTTTGATAAAGCCCCTTTTATGCCTTTTTTTCTGAAGCCACAAGCTTCTCTGACTTTTTTCTGCCTCACTTTTAATGAGAGTGTTGTTCAACAAACTATTGGCAAGTGCCTAAAGCCATTGGCTGATTTTTGTCGTTGTTTTGTTTTCATTTTAAGAACTCTATGTGGGAAAAGAGGCCTGATTTCCAAGACTGGACTTTATTTCTGAGAATCAGGATAGATCACCTAATTTGTCATTCCTCTTCCCACCTCTGGTATTACCCAGGTGGAAGTAGGTTAAGGAGAGAGAAGCTCAAAGATAGGCTTGGAAAGGAAAAAGCTCTCTCTCTCTCTCTCTCTCTCTCTCTCTCTCTCTCTCTGTGTGTGTGTGTGTGTGTGTGTGTGTGTATCTACATCTGTGTACACCAGGATCATGTCTTGGCTTGTGGTGTGTGTGTGTGTGTGTGTGTGTGTGTGTGTGTGTGTGATAGCTTATGGAGCTAGTTCCACCATTCTGCTCCCTGTGGGATGCTCTGGGGCAAGTGCTGGGGTGGGGGGTAGGAAGGCTTTCATCCTGATAGATGAAGACTCCAGCTTTCATTCCCTGATTGTTCTTGGCAGATCTACCTGGGCAATGCCCCTCTGCAGAGGGTTTTGGCTTCCATATATTTGCCTAAATCACTGAGGGAGAAAATTCCTCTTAACAACTTACAAACCATCTTGTTTAGTTTTTTTGGCCAAACTTCACTTTTTAAGGTAAGTTCTTGCCTCTGGGAACTGTCATGAAATGACATATGGTGACTCATTGTAATTATGAACTCCTGCTATTTTCATGATGTTCTGTTTATTTTAGAATATGTTCTCTGATTGATTCCACAAGTCTTGCAGCACAACCCCTGGCTCTCAACATGAATCAACATCTACTTTAATGATGTTCTACAGTTTTTAATTTTCACAGCTTCTCAGCTTTGGAAGCGACCTTAAGGATTATTTGGTGACCAAACAGAGGCCTCAAGATGTTTCAAAGCTATAAAAGAACAGCACGTTCTCCTGATGAAATGCCCTTTCGGCTTGCTAGTGCTTTCTTCCCAAATCTTTCCTGGCTTCTCAAAGCCAACATGCCTACTCTTCGGGGCCAATTTATTTGAAACTGGGTGGTGTCCAGCAGGATATTTGCCTGCAGACATTTGTTGATCTTTTTCTCCACCTCCAGAGAACCTTCTCTGAGGGCTTCAGCTCTCACCTACTAAAAACATAGGCAGTATGATGTGGTGGTGAAGAGCATGGGCTCAGGTGCCAGGCTGGTAGAACTTGAAGCTAGCTATGCCATATCTGCTTGTGTGACTCCATGTGCCTTAGTTTCCTCCTATGGGTAATAATAATAATAATTTGATAGCTGTTGAAGGACTAAAGGAGTTAATGTGTATAAAATGCTTACAACATTGCCCAGTACATAATAATCATCACTGTGGTTGCATTGCTATCATTATTATACTACCTTGGGTCTGTGCCTAACAAACGGCTCATTTCTTCAGGCCACTTTTATCTCATCTAGCTGTTGGGAAGACAGCCATCAGAGTTTGCATGTTGTTGAAGACAATGACTAGTATTAATTGTTAATATTTATACTTATTATCTCATTTTATTCTCATAAGAAGCTGAGACTCAAATAAGTTAATTAATTTTGCCCAGGATCACACAGCTAGGAAGTGGCCTATCTAGGAATCAATCTCAGGCTGTCTGATTCCAACGTTAATGTATTTAAGAGGCTAATACATTAATTTGCCCAAGTGTGCTTGTATTTCTAAGGAGGTTACTCAAAGGAATTAATTTCTAATGGTCAAATATTCATAGAGTTATTGTGGGGATGATGGGGAGAGATGGTACGGGGCCAATTCAAAATATACCGCATACTCATACTACCTACCAATTCCGATTTACCACATCACCTCTAAGTCTGTAAAACATTTTGTTCCCCTGAAATTCTGCAGCCACTCTTCCTTCACTCTAAATTCTCTTTGGTTCTATGAGATTAGCTCAAATCTTATCCAGGACATCTGCCTAGAGTTAGTGAGCCCCTCCCTGCTCTTTCCTCTGCCCCCTGGAGAAAAACTTTTGGTGGACAAAATTTTTTAATAAAAGTTTGAAATGTGGTCTGATCCTTTTGATAAACCTGTCAATTCTCTGTACCATCTGAGATGCTATTATTTTGGTCTTAATTTCTCATTTCTTCAGAAGGCTGTGCTTGTCTATTAGAATAGGAGATAAACTTGCTTTGCATAGATTTCACACTTAATAAGAAATTTTTATTCACTAACGCCTTCTACCGAAATGGATTAAAGATCTTTGCCAAAATTAGCCTGCAGACGTCATAGTGCCAGATGAAGAAGGATTAGAACTAGCTTGCCATCAAATTCAGGGCTGGAAGGGCCCTCAGAACTCATGTAGTGTCCCATCCCCTTATTGTTCCAATGAGGACATGGAGACCCAGAGAGAGGAAGACACTTGCTAAAGGTGACTCAGTTTACTAATTTATTCACTCATTTATTCATTCAGCAAATATTTATTGAATTCCTACTCTGTGTCTTAAGTGGTGCTACATGCTGGGTATATAAACTGAGCAAGAGAGATGTGATGTTTGCCCTCAAAGAACTTCCAGTATGATGAAGGAGAGCAGAGATCTGAAGTTTCCAGCACTGAAGGGGGGACCTGAGGCTGAGATCTGTGCTAATGGTTGTTGGATACTGAGAGCTTACAAGAAATGTCACCTTTTACCTATCTTTTCTTTGAGTTCCTGAATCTGACAGCCTTGTTTTTACACTGATTCCTGTAAAATCTTTTGATCAGAATCTTAACTGTCATTACAACACATTACCTTAGAAATTGTTGAAAAGACACCACTCCTGAACATCATGTACTTCCTCCTCCACTCCTCTACTAGCTGCAGTTCTCAGAGAGAGGAAAAGGCACAAGCAAGTGCAATGTGACATAGGGACTCTAGGGCTGTAGAAGAGGGTCTCTACTGTCATTTGGAAGAGCAGGAATGGCCTGGTGTAAGAGAGCTCTCAGCTCACACCTGAGACTACAATAGAAGGTAGAAGATGAAAGATGGTGAAGAGGGAGGATGTAAAAAGGAAGGAGAAGTGCTTCAGTCAGAGGGAATGGATTGTTTCTTCCCCCAGCATGGCCACCATTTTATAGTTAAAAGAAATGAAGACAGAGAACAGGTTAATTAAGTCTGGGGCTGTAATGGGTGTCTCTTTGGCCTTTCCACCACAGAAAATTGTATCTCTTAGACTAAGTTGGGAGGATAATTTGAGATCATCTGGTCTATCCTCCTTCTTCATGTGACCAGTGGCCCAGAAGGAAGAGTGCCTTCAGAGGAACAAGGGGGCTTGGGCTAGCTTTTGGTCTTGCCAGTGTCAGTCAGGTCCTTTCCAACGACATCGTGCTGCTAATACACCTCTACATCAGGCTGTCCCAGGTGTTTCTACTGAAAACGGAATACTTAGCCATAAGATTGGTTCGGATGAATACCTCAGGTCATAAACAGGAAGTTAGTAGGTTCCTGGTGGACATACACTGCATTTACAATTACCCAGATGTCAGAAGCTGCAGGGCTCAGGTTGGGTAGGGAGAGGGGGCTGAACATTATTTCTTCAAAATTATGAAGGCATGGCATCTTTTAAAAATGGCCTAGCAGGTTTTTCATGGGATATCTTTGGGGATCACCTCCTCCAGGCTTTCTTGGCAAGTCCTTAGAGGATTTGCTGCTTCTACTATCCAGAGATAAGCACTGGCCCTATAACTAACTGGTCCATTCACATGTGCTCCAGAAGAGGAATACTTTCAGCTGGAGCCTTAGCCTTTGGAAGTTTGGCCTTGTTAATTAGAAAGCCCTATATCTCAGTAGGTACATTCTAGTTAATTGTCTTTAAACAAACATTATCTCTGTCCTATCATTCACAAATTTGTGTGACCTTTGTACATATAGGCATTGAGCTTGTCTAAGCCTCAATTTATTTGAAAAAAAATGTCTGTCTATATGATGTCCATGAAGACCAAAGATAGTAGATAGTGTAGAAAGCACTCAGCAAAGTATCTGACTCATGGTGAGCCCAAGATAAAGTACTTACCATGCAGGGAACACTGGGACACACAAAACCTGGACTATGGTCTCAGAGCTCATTGTCCTCAAGGGAGAAGAACACTATCCTCAGAAACTCATTCCAAGCTGGCTGTTGATCAACCTATTTCCATCTCCAGTGAGGATAGAACAGGATGTGGTATATAACTAACTCATGAGATATTTAGATTCCTTATAAGGGATGTGCTCTTATAAAGATGGTTGAGATTTAGAACTGGATGAGTTATGAAATGTAAGGATCTGGAGAGCTTTCCAAGTTGAGAATAGTTTTATTTTGTTAGTGCAGTGCTAAGTAGCAGGTACAAAACCAAAACTGGTTGGATAGATATTTGGATAGATAGATGAATTAATGTATTGTTCCATCTTGGTATAATGACCACCTTATGTGAAGTCAGGAGATGAGCTGAATGATCTCTAAAAATTCACTATCAGCTTGTAATTTTATTTTCCACATTTTCTGTACCTAATACTGCATGTAGTAGATCACAAGTTCTAGACTGATAATAAACATGTAAAACCTTAGAAATTCAGGACCTAAACTTCTCTTCTTTATGTTTCATCTACAGATAAAAAATGTCATGAAAAAATTAACCACATATGTTATGAGTGCTAGCATTTCAGATATGTCCATTCAAAACTTGGCTGATCCAGTGCTCATCACTCTGCAGCACATTGAAGGAAATTGGGTAATGCCCATTTTTATCTCAGAATCACATGGCCTCAGATCTCTTCCTTGATTTTCCTGTTAAAAATAATTTTCTTTTTAAAAATTTTTTAATTTGTAGATGGACACAATGCCTTTATTTTATTTATTTTTATGTGGTGCTGAGGATCAAACCCAGTGCCTTGCACATGCTAGGCAAGCACTCCACAACTGAGCTACAACCCCAGCCCCTAATTTTCTAATTAACAGATGTGATTCAAAGATTTAGTGAAGATTATCCCATTCCAGGTATCAGAGGTGTGTTGTAATTGGGGACTTCAAGAAGTAACACCTTATCCCAAAGATATAGTGAATGGTGGGCATTCTATCACTGTGACAGATTGGCAAGGCAGTGACTATAGATAAGTGGATGTAATGGTCATCCCATCACACTAAATGACATTTAATTTCATTTATTTTTAAGTGAGGCAAACAGCTTCATTCAAAATAACTGAACATTTGTATTCTTCAAATTTCAATGAAGAGCATTAAAATGTGTATTAATTATCACCAAAGGACTAAAACCATAGTCATATGGCATAACATAAGGCATATATTACTAAATGATCAAATTTAGCCTTAGAATAAGAATGAATTACTATTTCATTCTTTGATGTTAATGTGTGTCCAGTGTGAAGTCTTAATAGCCTCCTTCATTGCCAATCTACAAGACCATATGGTACAACATATTTTAACTAGTCTTGATTCTAGAAGAGGAGAAGAGAAGAAAGAGTAGGAGAGAGAATTAAAAAAAAAACATACCAAAAGAAATATGTTAATGGGGTAAGATCTCTCAATTTGGACTCGAGCTACAATTCTCAAATTGTCCCCAGCAATTAATTATTCCTTCCCTCCAGTTTCCCAGAGATTGTGGGTGCTGGCAAGGCCTAGGAATGTTCAGTAGGTCTAATGAAGAGGCAACTCAACCTTGTGTCCATAAGGCATGAATGACCTCAACTGTGAGCCCTGAGTCCCACAGCTATAAAGAACACCAGTACTAGCTGGGCATGGTGGCACATGCCTGTAATCCCAGTGACTGGGGAGGCTGAGGCAGGAGGATTGGAAGTTCAAAGCCAGCTTCAGCAACTTAGTGAGGTACTAAACAACTCAGTGAGACCCTGTCTCTATATAAAATCCAAAATAGAGCTGGGGATGTGGCCCAGTGGTTGAGTGCCTGTGAGTTAAATCCCCCCAAAACAACACCCAGTACATATCAATCCTGCACTTACTAGCCACAGCTTCCTCCTGGGCCTTGCACCAGGACATCATAGAAAATTCCAATGCTACCAACAGTTTTCAAGGACACACACGAGATCACCATGTGGTGACCTGGTGTTTTCTCATTTATGAATCCAGAGTTAGATGGTGTTAGTCTTTTAAAACCAGTTCACAAATGGCCCCCGTGTGTGTGTGTATGCAAACGTGTATCTACTGTCTTCTAAACTTTTGTGTGTGCTCATTACTGTGTGATAACTCTCATGAGGAAAAATGTTTACCTCTGATTTCTTTTTTCCAGAATTATGATCAGGTTCACTGTGCCTTTTGGGATTTTGAGACTAACAGTAAGTATTTTTGTAAGCAAGCTTTTCCCCAGATCATTTTCATATTTGGCAGTTGAAGGGGGTATTGTGCTGAAGCTACTGTCTTATCAGGCTCTACAGAGCACTCTGAATAACCAAGATACAGGATGTGATTTTTATATCAAATTAGGGTATGGAAATTAAGAGAAAAATCCTTTTAGATGAGACAGTTGAAAAGCATACAGAGGTAAGCAAATTTGGAAGAAAGAAATTTTGAAGGTCCAATGCAGAGTAGCTTAATGCTGTTTAAAGAAAGTTGAGGAATGGTCACGTGGGTCTTAACTTGTACATTCCCACAGGGATTTTCAATGGATACTGTCTCCTTCCTTTTTTTCCTCCTTAACTCTTCCAAACTGACTGTGTGACCTTGGGAAAGCCATTTAACCTCTTAAGATCTCAATCTTTTCCATCTTTTCGTTGAGGAAATGAGACTTTTTGGTTTGTTCCTCAAGGACCCTTCCTGCTTGAATGAGTATGAGTCTTTGACACCAATAAGAGATGATGAGGATTGTTATTGCTGAATGGATTTCTCTTAGGCTTGCCATCTTCACTGGAATCTCTAAAGATAACACCAAATCTCAGAGAATTCCACACAAAATCAATTTCCCCTGAAATGCCAGAGCTGACTATGAGAGGAAGAACTACCTGGGAATTTTTCCTTTTTCAGTATCCTTAGGATTCTGGGAGAAAAGGGAAATTCTCTTCCCTCTTAATTTTCTGGTGTGCAGGAATACTACCTATTTCTGATAAACAGAATTAATAGTTCCCTTTCCTGGTCTCCTCCATGTCTTTCAGGAAGAGAATACTGTAAAGTGATGAGCTTTATTCCCCATAGCTTCAATAAGTTGATCTCTGTATTTACTAATGCCAAATGGTTGGATTACTCCCAGGATATCCTTTGCCCTTGTCTCTCTGCTTAATGGATCCAGAACTTTTGAAATCTATGGAGTTATCATGGATGGACAAATTCAAACTATAGTATATGCTATAGTTTATAGTTGCCTTTCTGGTCTAATGCCACCTAGAGGCTCTACTGTAAATCTTCTGTATGACCCAATATTGGCAGGTTATGTCAAATGACAGTTGGTTTCAGAACCCTGAGTATTCTGAGAAGAAATACTCAGTAGGTGTTCAGTAGAACAGAGGCTCTAGTTGGCTCTAAAAAGCTCTAGACTTGGGCTCAAAGCACTTAAGACCACTTGAATTTTGGGTTTACCTGGTTGTTTAGGATGTCTATTCCAGTCCCACCAAGTGTCAGTGTATATTCCACAGGTCCACATCCTTCAAAAAGTTGTAGATCTGCCTATTTACTCTTTATTGGCTATTTTTTTAAAAAATAATCACTCCAACATGGTAGCAAAACTGTTGTTCATGATTATTAGAGTCTGTCCTAATCTGTAGAGGTATGGCACAAGAACAGGAAATGTGGGAGACAATGAAGTTGTGCCATGCACAAAATCCCTTAAAAGTCAATTTGAGGGGCTGGGGTGGTGGCTTAGTGGCAGAGCACTTGCCTATCATGTGTGAGGCACTGGGCTTGATCCTCAGCACTACATATAAATAAATAAATAAAATAAAGGTACATCAACACTAAAAAATATTTTTTAAAAAGTCAATTTGGTCTTTTAGATTTAATTTAATTTTGGTATTCAATTATACCTCTATCTTGCAGTCTTAACAAACAATACTAATTATAACACACGTTTGGATGGTGCATACAATGAAATGTTAAACATTTCTGAGAAAAAGCAAAACTGCTTTGAAATTCCCTTCTGTCTCCTGCAGATGGACTAGGCGGATGGAACTCATCAGGCTGTAAAGTAAAGGAAACGAATGTAAATTACACAATCTGTCAGTGTGACCACCTCACCCACTTTGGAGTTTTAATGGTGAGTTGTCCCTTCATCATTCCTCAATAGAATTTTGACAACTTTTATTAGATTCAGATCAGTAACACACGTATGAACAAAGTAATGGGGAAAAAAACTCCCTTCTCCCATCTTGTTCATCCAAAGTAGAGAAGATTGAAATAAATATTATCTTTCTCACAAAATGAATGCCTACTTTTCAAATTTCAAACAATACAGAAAAGGTCCTTGTAATTCCCCTCCCAAAAGATTACTACCTTTAACAGTCTGGTATGTATATGTATATTCATTTAGAATCTTTACTTCTGTGTATATGAATATGTTTTTTATAAAGTAGGATCAAATTTTTTCATACCATTTTACTGCTTGCTTTTATTTTTTAACCTAACAATATATATTGGACAATTTTCAGGCAAATATTATCCATTTACTTCAATTTAAAAATACCTTTATGGTATACCATTATGTTGATTGAACATGATGAGTTTAACCAGACCCTGACAGGTGGATGTTTTAGCTATTTTTCTCCAATATGAACTTTGGTATAATATACATTCTTATTTATTTTTCTTCCAACATTTGTGAAAGTATTCCTGTAGAATAAAGTAACAGCATTGCTGAATTGAAGGCTATGATCATCAACAATTTTTAATTTTAATAGTTATTGTCAAATTGCAGCATATGTAATATGTATTTTTAAAATGTTTGCAGTGCTTTAACTAGTAAGAGTTAACTGACCAATTTACAAAGCCAGGCTTAAACAATCACTGTTAACTCTCCTAGTTCTTTCATCTCCCATGATCTTCCTAATATCAACTTGCTGAGTTTTCCCCTAAACCACTCTCAACCAAATGGCTTCTCTACCCACACGTGAATACTTCCTTGGTTTCTTAAGTTATTTTATTAGATAGTGGTATTTTAATGTGTCATATGTGAGTTGTTTCTCCAGCTAAGTTCTTTGAGGGCTGAGAGTCTGTCTGACATTATATATATATATATATATATATATATATATAT